TCCCATCCAAATCGATAATATATCATTATGACTGTGTAAGTTTTACCTACACTGGCTAAATCTTGTTGTTTGAATACTATTTTAGAATATTAGAAATATAAATGTCAATGCCTAGGATGTGTTCCTCCAATATTAAGGAGGAAATTTGTTATGGTACTTAGCAAATAGGTGTAGTAGCACAAAGTTATGCATCTTTAAGAAGAAAGCAAATAGCAAGGGACCAAGAAAGCAGAAATATGTCCATTTTTAAGAGGAATAGTGGAAATGGAGTAAAACATGATAAAGTTAGTTTTGGAGAACTGGGTAGGGTAGTAATAGGACTCTGGAAAATATACTGGGTATAGCAACAAGAGCTACTGATGTGATGTCTTGATGATTACCAGACACTACAGTTCAGAAATGGTTAACAATTGGGTCTCTTCATAAATTTCTATGGTTTTTGCTCCAGCCTAAAGCCAAAGAACAAGGCTTACTGGGTCTTTCTGCCAGCCCTCCCACATTCTGCTCTATCCCTTCTTGGGCACTCTGCTCAATAAGCAACCCACCCACAGCATCTTCCCTCTTTGATCTTGTCAAGGCCTTTTTCCCACCATCCCTGAAACAGTTACCCAAGCAATGGCTTCAACTCTGGATTCTCATAAGACAGCAGCCAGCCAGAAGCCTGGGCTGCCTTGAGCCTTTTGAGAGGATATGCCAGGCATCTGTGGAAATTCTCCAGTGAGGTTAAATTGGTAGGGGGGTGGGGAGGCTCTCTTTGATGAGAGAATACCGTGGTTGCTGTAGAACACAGAGCTCTTTTGATTTGGAGTTTAATGAGCCTCCACTTCAATAGGACCTACGTGTCCTGAAAGATAAGGGCAGGAACAGAAAGGCACCATTTACCTCTTCGCCTGACTGCCTGTTACACAGGCTATATAGACTGATGTCAAGGCCTAGATGACAGTGACTCACAAATTAAATAGGTCTATTGCCTCCCAAGCAAGATATCTCCCTGGACATTAGTAAAGCAGGGCCCATTTGAAAGAATTGGCATTGAACTTGGAAGAGGATGAAAGCAGTAATTTCAGGATTAAAGTTCTCTGTGTGTCTGAGGCAACATTTCTGTGTAGAATTTAGACTGCAGTGATTATAAAGAACCCTAGGCAAGAGACTTAATGGGATTAAGAAGATGGAATGAATTTCAGGGAATGTATCTATTCTTTCCCTGATCATCTTGATTTAATGAAAACTAGTTAGCTCAGTGACCCTGAAATTAGAAAACTGAGAAAACACTCCTCCCACCAAAGGTCTATTTTGAGAAGGCTCTCCTAATTATGATTTATTAAGTAGCCTGCAGAGGATTTCACTTGAAGAACTCTGAAGGCCTGAAAAAAGAAAAAGAAAATGCATAGTTCGTTAGTGAACCCTCACTAAAGTATGTGTTTATATGGGACATAAGGTGGTCATCTAGCATAATCTATCTCTTCAAAAATGATCTTCCTTAAGCTGGGCATGGTAGTACATGACTACAATCCTAGAACTCATGAAACCAAAGCAAGAGGATTGCGAGTTTGAGCCCACCCTGGACTACATAGTGAGTTTAAAGTCAGCCTGAGATATACAGTAAGATTCTGTCTCAAAACAAAGCAAAAAAGTCAAACAAAAAGCATGGCCTTCCTTGAACCATCTCCACCACCTTTCTTGGGTTAGAAATATTCACTGATTTTGTGAAATAAACAATGTTGCAACTTAAGAAAGTCTACCTCAGAATGACCGAAACCTAGTGTAGACTGTGTCACAACATAACAGCAAAACTTCACTTAGCAATTAGTCTATTTCAGGTAGAGAAAGAGAACTTTTCCTTTGAATAATATTGGGGAGACAGGGCAAACACTAGGGAGCAAATTTAGCTCTGCTCATTTACTAAAACAACTAAAAAAAAAAAAAAAA